TGTTGATACATTTACGTATTGTAGATAATCAGCATTTTAAAAGAGATTCAGATAAACTTTTTGTTTCACAAGCTGTCCACATGTCCTGGGTATCCTGAATTCTAAAATTCTCCGCTTGTTAGACTTTGCTGGTTCAGCTTAAGAAATGAAACATTCCCCACCATTTTAGGAAGGTGCATGTGGCCCACAGACATTGCCACACACGAAATGTCATAGCGCTGTGTGGCTTGAATTATGATGCCTTTAATCATGTTTCGTCAAGATCTGTTTTTCCCCTTTTAGTCTATCTACATTATACTCTTCTTTCAAGCTTTGGCTCAAATATCAACTTTATCATGAACTCTTTCTAGACTACGTTAGAATTTACTCCTCTTCTTGTGTGTCCAAACATTACAAAGTTAATTTTATTCTTCCTGATATTTCAGTGGATTGTTTCTCTGACCCGCCTAGGATGGGTGTTGACTAACTCACCTAGGTTATATATTTCTTGAGGACAAACAACATGTCTGTTTCATCATTGCATAGGCCATAGTATTTACACACTCTCCATTGGCAATGTCATCCACCCCATGGGAAGGGAGATCCTATTGGTCAGAACAAGCCAGGGACAGTGCTAAAGAAGATAGGAGGATACATAATAAACAATCTGTCAAGTACTTCTAGGACTCCATATTATGTAGTATATATATATTTTTTCTTCTTCCCGCAGTCAATTTTCCATACACCTAAACTACTGTCAGTGATTCTGTAGGTAAACAATTCTTGAGGGGTATAACGTGACTTTATGAAAGCACTCTACCCAGCACCTAATGATGCAAAACTCATCTATCTTGATTGGTTATCAGTCTGAGGAGTTTCCAATCCTAAAGAGACCAGGAAGATACCTATACTCATCTTAACGTGTATTTTTTGACTGAGTTGTGTGGGGACAGGCCGCATTCTAAGGAGATTGACCTGATTTTACTGTCTCATTTTTCTTCTCCAGGATGGGTTCTGGGTGGGTTTCCTGGGTGGTGGCTCTATTAGTCAGTCTGATCAGGCTGGATTCCTCTGTGACTCAAGGCAGAAACTCTCCAGGTAAGAACAGAGAAATTTCTTTTTTTAGTTCAAGAATTGGCTGGGGGAGAGATATTTTCCCTATAACTCTAGGCCATAGGCTAGACTGCAAGTGGCTTCTGGCTCCAAAGAGCAGAGTTCTTTGACAGAAAAATACTCCTCCCTCCTTGCCACACACAATGGACTGCTGAGAAAAAGGACTTCCTGTGCCAGAGCCACAGATCGGAGGAGCAGAGAGGCAGGAAGAAGGGAAACATTTTGTCCTGGTTAGAGTCCTTATTGTATCATTCTCAGTCACTGAAAATTGTAAAACCTGGAGCCAGTCTGAGAGTAGCTGCCATTCTTCAGCCAGGAGCTTTCTCTGATGATTGTTACTGTTTCCATATTTATTCAATTGGGGTATCCAACTGGGGACAAAAGAAATGGAAAACAAATGATGTTTCTTCTGGCATTTATTAAACCCTTACTATAGGGTTGCTATGAGTCGGAATCGACACAATAGCAACGGGTTTGGTTTTTTAAAATACGGTCAGAATTGTATTAAGCAGCTTTGAGAAGTAAGAGAAGATGACAACATTATCCCTCTCCTCAGATTACTGGGTACATGTTATTTATCTCTGTTGTTTTTCGAGCTGAGGAGACAGGCTATGCAAGTATGAAGCAATGTTAGACCATGAAAACACATTATTTATCAGCAGAAAACAGGATGTGATGTGCTGAGAACAGAACCTACTTTGAATACCAAAGTCTCAAAAATACAAAAGAGGAACAAACTTAGAGGGAGAGGAACATCGTTCTTAGAGAACAGAAACCACTCTGAGCTTATAACGTCCATTAAACAATGCAAATGAAAAAAAAAATCAGCACAGATCTTAACCGATGACTAAAAATTCAGATTTTTTTTCTGATTCAGAATGTAAAAGAAGATAGAGAAGAATATAAATGGTAAGGAATTGGAGATTGGAGCTTATCTGAAATTAGCTACCGAGTGAGAGATGAATATGGCTTACCCAGGAAGGATGCCACCGTCCTTATGATTTGCTCAGTAGTGCCTGGCGGAGGCCTCTGAACTTAGAAATGAAAGTAAATTTACAACTCCAGATCAGTAGCATTGCTACCCAGTAGCAATGCCCTCAAATGCCATGTCTTTAGAGAGCTCTTTACTGACCAGCTTGCATTATTAACTCCATTTAAGTTTTCTTTTCTTGTTGTTGTTGTTCTCAAGTACACAGGAATTGAGTTAATCTTACCCATTGAGTTCACAGCACATTGTAATCACTGATCAGTACAAGGACTCTCCCTTTTTTTTAATCTCCATTCTCATTCCTTCCACTCCATAGATATCCATTCTGATGAGTCTGGTATGTCTTTAAATATAAGGGTGGCCTTTAAAATCATGTAGTATTGTTTTTCTGTTTGTATTTTAAAATTTTAATAAATGTAATTGTGCATTGGACTCTATTCTGTTTTTCCTTACACTTAACACTATGGCTTTTCAAAAGTGATACAGGGATGTTTGCGGCACTGACGGAGCTTGGGAAGCCTGATGCTGTTGGATGTGAACTTAAACTCATCTTTATCAATGGGGAAGCAGGCTCAGGGAGGGGAAGTGTCTTTTCTTCCTTTCCTAAGTTAAACTGCTTGATAGAGCACTAGAATTTAAACTGAGACCTAATCCAGGTCCACTTACCAGTTTGTCTTTTAAACTTTTCCAGATCTTCAAATCTAAGACGAGTATTAGAATGCTAGGGAAATAACAGTCATACTTTTCTTACCTATGAGTACTAGTAAAATAGCTTTGGAAAGTTAAATAACTTTGGAAAACATGAGAAGATTAGAAATGAGGCACAGTGTTTGAAAGTTAATATATAGTTCAAACTAATCACTATCAATATTAGTAAGGTACTTTAAAAGTAGAAAATCATAATGGACAATGGAGTTGAATTTTTGTTTATTCCATTTCAATGACAGTGTCTGATAGAAAAGTCCTAGAAGAAGGTTTAAACTAACCTTACATTCCTTACCACCACGTTGTTGTGAATACTAGAACTGTAGGTACAGATGATGATGGTAATAATAATAATAATAAAAGGCATCTTCAAACCATGGATTAATATTAATTCTTTTTCAGCATCAACAGAGGTAATGGTTAGCGCCAATGGAGGTGGTGAGGTCTCTGAGCAAGAGTATAAAAAAAAAGGCCTAAAAGTAAAACTCTTGGAGAAAATTCTTAGTGAGTGGAAGGTAGAAGGGGAGTTTAATTTTACATCTTTATGTACCTGTTTGGTGTTTCTTTGCCTCTCCCCTATCCCTCCTCCACTTTATTCCAGAAGGAACGTGTAGAATGAACCTACTCAGGGCAAAGGTGTTATTGAATTATTCTATGTGGGGCTGGATCTTTTTGACTTGGTAATAAAGGGAGTTAAAACCTTAGTCTTTTGAAAGTTTGGCTAGGAGAACCCTAGCACAGTGTCTGACATAGAACAGAGTTGATAAATATTTGTTGACTAAACAAATGAATGAATGTTTATGTCTCTTAGGACTCTCCCTTTGGCTTGCTTCTTTGGGTTGCATGTCTCCTGTTTGGCTGCTCTGGTAGGATGGGCCTTGGGCTTTTTCCCATCATGGATGTCTTTTTGCTAAGAGGAATCAGGGTGAGGCCTAAGAGAAGAAGAACCTACTTTAAACTATTTACTGAGCTCAAAAGGCCTCCCCTCAAATCCATGTACTCTGATATAATTTACTAGGCATGTGTTTCCTAAACATGGGGGCTGGCTCATGGTCCCTTTTTTTTTTTTTTTTTTGGTTTTCCAGAAGATTTTGTGATTCAGGCGAAGGCTGACTGTTACTTCACCAATGGGACAGAAAAGGTGCAGTTTGTCGTTCGATTCATCTTTAACTTGGAGGAGTATGTACGTTTCGACAGTGATGTGGGGATGTTTGTGGCATTGACGGAGCTGGGGAGACCTGATGCTGAGCGATGGAACAACCGGACGGATATATTGGAGAGGAGCAGAGCTTCTGTGGACGTACTCTGCAGATATAATTACAAACTTGGTGCATCCTTCACAGTGGGGAGAAAAGGTGAGGTCGAAGATGGGGTCTGGTGGGGTTCAGAAAATCTCCCCCATGCAAACCTGGCCATAGTTCTTCTTCCTTATGATAGGCAATTATCTGCTTCAGGATAAACGGCCTATAAACAGGGGAGTCTGTGTGTATGTTCTGTTTTCAACAGTGACCAACCCATTTTTCTCACAGGTCAGGTCACTGTGGTCTTGGTCCTAGACTCTCAAGTCTTCAGGGACTTTAAGGACTAGTGTACTCTCATAGAAGAGATAATTGTGGAAGTGTCTGATAAGGCTTAAGTCCTTTTTAGGGCATTGGCACACCCGGTTCCTGAGCCTTGGGGCAGAGGTTTTCCCACTCTTCGGTTTCCACTGGGGTCTGGGGAAGAGACTGGAGGCAGAGATTAGTCTCTAAAGAAAGTTGATAGTTTTCTCTTACACTGTCTCATCTCCCTCTCCCTTCCTAGTGCAACCGGAGGTGATGGTGTATCCAGAGAGGACCCCATCCCTACAACACCCCAATTTACTGCTCTGCTCTGTGACAGATTTCTATCCAGGGAACATCAAGGTCAGATGGCTCCGGAATGGGCAGGAAGAGAAAGATGGGGTCATGTCCACTGGCCTTATCAGGAATGGAGACTGGACTTTTCAGATTATGGTGATGCTGGAAATGACCCCTGAACTTGGAGATGTCTACACCTGCCTTGTGGACCACTCCAGCCTGCTGAGCCCTGTTTCTGTGGAGTGGAGTGAGAGTCAGCTTCTGTGCTCTCTAGGCCTGACTCAGGATCATACTGAATCTATATGGGGCCTGTGTTACCTCTGCACACTTCTTGGTCACAACACCAATTCTTTTCCCTAATCTGGGCGAGTCACAGAGATCTGGAGTCCTTGGGCTAAAGTGGGAGTAAACATTGCAGATATCTATCCTGTACCTTCCAAGCCCTGGTGGTACAGTGGTTAAGAGCTCAGCTGCTAACCAGCCAAAAGGTTGGCAGTTGGAACTGTCAGCTGCTCCATGGGAGAAAGATGTGGCACTCTGCTTCTGTGAAGATTAAAGCCTTGGAAATTCTATGGGGCAGTTCTACTCTGTCCTATAGTGTCGTTATGAGT